ACCATAAAACACTGTGTACTATCTACTTGTACTATTTACTGATCAACTAACTTCTTAATAAATTCAATAACTAACTGTCGAACTGTCTCCTGTTTAACTTCTTAATTAACTAACTCCATATTGTCTTACTGTAACTGTTAACTATCTTGAACTGTCTAATCAATGCACTGTTTTACTGTCTAATCCCAACTCTCAGTCTGTTATACTAACTGTCTAATGAATACTGTGTTAATCTTCCCATACTATCTAACTTAATACTGTGTTAATCCATCCTTGCTCAAAATTTCATTGTATTTATATCTTTTCATCGTTCTCGAATATTCTAGCCACAAATCATGTTCAGAACTCTTCATCTCATCCATATCCGAACATTCTTGAATATTCTTTCTCGCAAATAGGCTTGAAGTTTCTTATATTGACGTTTTCTAGAAAATTCTTTACCCGTCTATTAAGAATTTTATGGACATTTAGTCTTTTCAGATCAGAATATACACTTATATAATAAACTAAACATTTTAAATTAATACATAAGACTCAAGTTCACTTATGTCATAATAATACAGTGTCGATTCAGTGTATATTTGGTTGCCTATGTACATGACTTACTTAAATATATCATAATATTATAATTATTAAAATAAAACTTTGTACACTTACAAAGCATATATCCGTTTTGATTGGAGCGAGTGATACGTTAAATAAAGGAAAAGGAGATAAGGATTATATTAACAGAGAAAAAAAAAACAAGGCAACTACCAAAAGGATACTGCACCTTATCCTCATTTAGTGACATACGAGATATTATATGACAGTATGGATGATAATAGACACACTATAAGGTAAATTTGCTAAATAGACCTGAAGAAGGCCTCTAACTGAGTACAAAATAAACAACGAATGAAGGACCTCCTAACCTGCAGAAATTGTAATTTGGAAATCAGACTACGTACCATTCGATGTAATATATTTTTAATATTACTATATAGGCCTGATACTTGAACATTAAAAAATGCAATTTAAAAAGAATCGAGGCTTTCGAACTCTAACGCAGAGTAATAAAAATATAATGGACTGACAAAATTAAAAATAAAGACATAATGGAGAGAGATGTTAAAAAAACCACTGTAGAAACAAGACAACTGGAATACGTAAGCCACGTGATGGAGGGACCAAAATATGCAATTTTGAGAGTCATAATACAAAGAAATATTTAAGGTAGAAGATCTTTTGGCCGAAGGTAGAATTCTTGGTTGAAAAATCTACGTGATTGGTATAAATCCACATCGATTAATTTGTTTTAAGCAGCAAGTTCAAAAATAAAATAAGCCATTACGAGGGCCAATCGCCGTAGGGAGACGGCACTATAAGAAGAAGAAGCTTCTGCTTCTTTAAGTTACCCAAGGATTGTTTACGCTCATTATAAACTTCTAGAGGTTTTTATCGAGATGTTTAAATAACATTTGTCTTTTTCAGAGCAGGTATATTATTATTATGTATAATTCATAAGGGACTCAAACTAACACGTCTCCATAAACATCTCAAGAACAAGCAGAATTTATGCCTGGAAAAAGCTAAGTAAATTAAACAACTTTTTCGTAGAGTGTTTCTTCTACTTTTACTTTTATTGTGTAGTTTTTGTAGACATTCTGTAGACTTCTCTTTTTTTTTTGTTCTATTATTTTTTTGGAATAGTTTAAGTAGGTATTTGGTTAAATCTACGGTTTGGTTACGAGTTTATTCGGTATGCTATCCTCTACTGGTGATTTTTTGATTTTTAATTTTCCTAATGCTCTCTATACCTTTTTATCTTTAATATTTATTCCTACGTTTGCCGTAACCTCTGGTGTTAATAGTTTATTATCGTTGCTTATAGCAAATAGGGATTCAAATTGCTCTGCTTGTGTTTCTTTCTAAATGTGTTTCCTTTTTATTAGTCAGTACATCTCTTTTTTATATCTTTTGATCAATTTCCATAAAAATCTCCATGAAAATAATCATTGGAGACATGAACGCCCAGATAGGAAAAGAGATATGCTACCAAGATTATATTGGTAAACACAGCCTTCACGACGTTACTAATGACATTGGTTTAAGGCTTATTAGTATGTAAGCTTCCAAAGATTTAATTGTGGGAAGTACATGTTTTAATCATAAGAATATCTATAAAGTAACTTGGATATCACCAAATGTACACACCACAAATCAAATTGTCCATGTTATAATTGACAGAAGGCACTATACAAACCTAATGGACGTCAGATGTTACAGAGGGGCAAATATTGACTCAGATCATTTCATGGTCAAGTTCTATCGTCAAATAAATATTATTAGAAAAAAAGTCAAACTGAGAATCAACTATTGTAATGATAAGAAAGGTAACTTACCAACAAAAAAAGAATTCTGTTACGATTGGTAGAGCACTTACAAAAGTTGCTGACAGGGACACCTACTAACAATGTAGAGCTGGTATACCGAAATAAGGAACTAGTGGATGAAGTGAAAATATCTATAGAAAAACTAAGGTGATGCGAGAAATTATTTGCAAAAATTTGGCCTGAGGAGCAAATACCTGAAGAATGGAGCTTAGGCTTAATTTACCCGTTACACAAAAAGAAAAACCAACTGGAATTCAATAATTACCGCGGAATGGCTCTCCTAAATACAGCATACAATATATTGTTAAACATTTTGCACGAGAGATTGAATCCTTATACCGAAACGTTTTAGGACAATATCAAGCAGGATTCAGGCGTGGACGTTCAACCATTAACCAGAACTTTACACTACGACAGATCCTCGAAAAAGCACAAGAGTTTAACATATATATGTATTATATTTTTGTCTATTTTAAAGCGGCATATGACAGTGTATTAAGACCAAATCTTTACAACGCCATGAATGAGTTAGAGATTCCTTCTTCTTAACATGCCATACACCAAAGTGCGTAGGCGACTATCTCATTACTAGAATTCTGTTCTTGGCGGCGTGACACAGCTCACCTGTATTGTGTATTCCTGTCCATTCTTTAATATTCCTTAACCAGGATAATTGTTTGCGGCCGGCTCCTCTCCTACCTTCGATCTTTCCTTGTAGGATTAACTGTGGTATTTCATATTTTGCTCCTCTCAATATGTGCCCAAGGTAACCAATCTTGCGTTTTTTAATTAATTCAAAGAGTTCTCTTTCCATGCCGGCTCTATTAAGGACGTCTTCGTTTCGAACTCTATCCACCCAAGGTATGCGCATCATTCTTCTCAATGACCACATTTCAAATGCTTCAAGTTTGTTGATAGATGTTTTTTTTTAAGTCCACGTTTCCATACCATAAAGCAAGATGGACCATATGTAGCACTTGACCATTCTGTAGCGTATTTCGAAGTTTAGGTGTTGATTACATAGGAGCGGTCTGAATTTCACAAAAGCTTGTCTTGCCATTTGTATTCGGGTTTTTATCTTGTGTTGTGGATACGATTGGTCATTGATTGTGGTGCCAAGGTATTTAAAAGTTTTCACGCGATTTATACGATTGTCACCTATGCATATTATCGGGTTTTCGATAATATGCATAGGTGACAATTAGAGATTCCAAAAAAACTTATATGTTTGATAAAAGTGACAATGGCGAAGATGCTATAAGCAGTAAAAATTTAAAACGACTCGTCAGTTTCATTTGAAATACATAGAGAATTAAGACAGGGAGATGCGCTGGCGTTTCAGCTTTTTAATGTCGCCTTAAAAAAAGTTGTACCATACGCTAATTTAGATAGCAGGAAAATAATATTTAATAGACCAGTCCAAATTTTAGCATATGCAGATGACGTGGACATTATAACGTAAACCAGTGCGAGAATTGCGGAAATCCTAACCGAGCTAGTATCAGCAGCAGAACGAATGAGTTAACATATAAATCAAAATAAAACCAAATTCATGGCTAACAAACGTCTATCTCAAAAAACTCGTCTAAGGCTGTATAGAATACTGATATTTCCCGTTCTCACATATGGATCAGAGGCATGGACGCTAACTAAAACAGATGAATCCTCTCTATCCATTTTTGAAAGAAAGGTGCTACGCAAGATATTTGGAGCGGTTTGTGAGAACGGAATATGAAGGCGTAGATCTAACTTTGAACTGCAGAATATCTACAAGCATACGTTTGGTGGTAAATATATTACCACTATAATTAAGCGAAACCGCCTGCAGTGGGCAGGACATGTAGCCCGGGCCACTGAATGAAACATGATAAAAAAGATTCTAACAGCGCAACCCGTGGGAATGAGAAGACGGGGTAGTCCAAAGCTGAGGTGCATGGACGGGGTAACACAAGATGCCGAGAAGATCGGAGACGGCAACTGGAAAATGCAAACAAGGGACATAACAGACTGGCGCACCAAACTGTAGCACCAAGATGATGATGATAATGATCAATCTCCATATTTCGTTTTGTGTTCCCTAGAAGTCGTTTTTCATCTGTTTTTAGAAGTTCTGCCAATGTTCTTTTTTTATTTATCTAACTAACTCATTCGTTTTATTTCTAATTCATTTATAGTGGTTGTATCCCTGTTGTGTTTATTGTGTATTGTAAAAAGTCTTTTGGTCTTTTTGTTCACAGTCATTTTGTCTTCACTTTCTCTCTTAACCAAAAATAAAACTATTGTTATATAGCATTCTTTTAACCCTTTAAATAATTAAGTTTATTTTTAAATTCTTGTTTTTCAGGCAATATACAAATGTTTTAAATGCGATAATTTAATAAATATCTGGTATCTAATATGTTAGAGGTATTTTAAACGTTTAATCAATTTTAATGCCGCTAAAGATAACAAAAAAGTAATAAAATAACATTCTGTAAAAAATTCCCGCATATTTTGTAAGATAAAAAAACCCATGAACTTGTTAGTGGGTGTTAAAGGATAATAATTGTAAATTGTGATACTCTTTTCCTGTATAATCAAACTTATAAATAGCCAAACTATTTGATTTTATTTTAATTAATCACAATGATCTCGTTTGTGGTTCTTCTCTTAATATGTGTCAAATTTGGTGACTTTGTTTTTCTGCCTGAAAAAGTAAGTACTATAAACACTTTTAACTATAATCACTTTGTTATTTATTTTAAAAGCTACAAAGTGGTTTATATTAATTTTTTAGTCCCTTTGTTTTAAAAAAGGTTGGTTTGAAAGATATTAAAGATGGTGCTAAATTCACGCGACAACAACCGTAAAACAATCATATTTCGGTTAATATTTAGTTTATAGAAACAAAAAAATTAAAATTTTCAGTAGAAAACAAAGCTGTTTTTTGTTTCATCATTTTTGTTTGTATCTTTTGTAGTTGACGGGTTATTTTGAACAAAAAATTTTTTGTACGGCTGTTGATATCATGATTTTATTCAGATCGATTTCCAAAGTAAATATATTATTTTAATCTAATTAATGTTCTTCTACTTACGTTTTTAAGTCTTCGTACAACACTAACCGGTTATTAAACTGGTATGTCACTTTTAACCCTCCGTTCATCGGGTGAGCATTCTGAAACACTTTCGGTCGGGTGTGGTCTGTGAGGACCAAAATAAAATACCGCCTCCCGATCAACAGCATACATTTTATTGCTAATTTCGCATCAACGTGTTTTAATCAAATCATTTACTATATAATGTTTATTACAGAAACAATTTCAAATTTTTTTTAAATTGTATTAGTTAAATTTTAAAAATGTTTACAATTTCAACGCATATTTTTTCAAATTTGTAAACAGCGACTAAATAATGAAAAAAAAAACAAAAAACATTTAAAACTTTAATAAGAAACAAACAAAGTACTGTGTGTGTGTGTGTAGTTTTATTTTATGACTAGAGACATAGTCCATTAGCCTATTATGTTTTGAGTTATTAATTTTTTAAACAATTGTTATAGAGAGAACCCGTAACAATAAAATCTTAACTTCTATTGACTTACATATAAGTAGGTACCTACATTAATTTTTTTTTCATTATATTTTTTTTATTTTTTTTTATTTAATTTTTATTTTTTTTTTATTTTTATTTATTTTTTTTTAATTTTCTTTATTATTTCTTTTTTTTTTATTTTTTTTTTAGTTTTTTTTTACTGGAAGGAAAAGGAAAATATATGGTTTTGCTGATTTATTACATACGCCTAGGGGTCTATCAAGGCGATTTGCACAACACAAAATTAGACCACGGATAGAAAGGTTAACAACTGGGTTAAAACAAACGACTTATATAACTAACTTTTTATGTTTGAAATATATACACTGTTACAATAATACATTTAGAAATTCAATTTCATTTCACGTACGTGGCGAAAAATTATTTCATAAATATGCAAGTTATTGGTTTTTATTAAATCTGATAAATTAAAAGGTCTTTTAATAAGAATTTTTTCCTTATTGATATACTCGTATATTTTTATTATAAATTGGTTTATACATCGTGTATTTAATGAGCAATTTAAAACTAAATGCTCAATTGAGCCTTCTTCGCCACATTCGCAAAATGGAGTTTCAGCTAAATTAATTCTGAACTTATGTAACGGAGACAGAGCATGGTTAAATCTTATTCTACATAGTATTCTTATCATATCTTTATTAAAAATTGAGTTTTTGAACCACGTTGAGGACTGTATTTTTGGTTTTATATCTTTATAATATAATCCTTTGTTGGACAAATTGTACATTGTTTGCCATGAATTTAACATTTTTTTCCTTAGATGAGAATTTAGATCCTCAATTACACATTTATATTCTGATTCTTTAGATGGTTCATTATATTTAGCAATTTTGTCTACTATTTCATTATTTAATATTCCACAATGAGCTTTTATCCAACAAAACATTACATTAGATCCTCTTAATTTCATTGTACCCACCAGGTTTATAATTTCAGATAACACATAATTAAATCCAATATTGTTATATTTAGAAATATTTTCAATTTTTTGTATTGAACTTTTACTATCAGAGAATATAACGTAATTAGATTTTGTTCTTAAGAAATTACTAATGTATTTAAGTGCTTCTAATATTGCTATTAGTTCAGCGGTATATATTGAGGTTTTAATATTTAGATCTACTACTGTACTAAATTTTCGATCTGGATCGTAAAAGGCAGATGTAACCTTTAAATCTGATTTAGATGCATCCGAAAAAATATATGAGTAATTAGGGAACATATACTTTATGTCAGCTTGGAACATGCTATTCCGGATATATTGTGGGAATTCTGAGTAGTCTCTAAGATATCCTACTTTTATGCTGTCCAAGTGTTCTAATTCTATTTTAAAACAGGGTAATTCTCTTGAAGTCGAAATGTCCTTACTAAGTTGTATCCTTACGTATTTGTACGATTCAATAAAAGGAATTGTAGGCTTTTTTGCCAATATTCCTTGACTAGATCGTAAATACTGAGCTCGAAGCATTTTTGGACTACCGGACTTTTCTTTGCATACATTTTTAATAAAAACTTCTCCGTTAAGTAATCTCTTCTGAACAAAGTACTGCAAAAACATAATAAACTAAAAAATTAAATGGTGGACACAAACTACAGTGGTCAAACTTTGGTGGTCAAATTTTCTAAGCAATCTTTGCCAGCATGCCATTATGTATATAGCCAGGATTTGCAAATTTTGCAAAAAAGCGAGTTTTGCGTCTTTTGAAATTTTAACAATTTCCTCTCTTACCTGGCTGGGGTTCTGGTACAACGTCGACCTTAATGCCTGGGAGTCTCAAGGCCGAAGCACGCAAAGCTTTTGTCAAATGCGGGGCAACTGCTCTCCGTCGTATACTCTCCTGTACCAATTCCATGCCTAGGTTTTTTTGGAATAATCTTCGCGTTTTGCAAAATTTTCCATTTGAGTTGTTGCCTTTGTAAATTACCAATGCATTAATTACTGCGAGATTAAGGAGATTATAAACTACTACCATTGGCCAACTTTTCGTATTTCTGGAAACATTATATGATGTGATCATTCTGTCTACAACATCTACTCCACTCTTTGTGAAATTATAAACAGTAATTATTTCTGGTTTTTTTCTGATCACCAGTATCTTCATCAATTCGATCACCTCTGTGGCCAGTGGTAACAGCAATCATTTTTTTTTCTTTCTTCGGTATATATGCTACGGCAGTCATACCGTTGCTAAATGCATGTATTTTCTCGGAACAACTGAATAATCCAATTCACAAAAATGCACAGGGTTACCAAGTGAAACAAGATTGCAAGAAAAATAGAACTATGACGCAATGCAAATATTGTTACATATTTGATCGGGTGGGGTCTGTCAGGACAAACAGCCATGCAGCAGTTAGTTAGAAATTTCAAAAATGGTTTTGTATAAAAAAACGAATGGTATTTAGTTTCTACGAAGGTACTAAAAAGGTAGAAATTTAAAAAAATAAAATGAGAGAATTATCCAAAATTTTTATTTTGCCGTAGACTCACAGACCACACCCGATGAACGGAGGGTTAATAATTTACTATGGTGAAAATACTCCAATAAAATTGCGAATATATCGGAGCTGAAATTAAACACACTTTGTGGTTCGGAATCAGTTCCGGTCTCCTAAACCGACTATTGGTTTGTTATAAAAATTATTTTTATACAAATACTTTGTTAATATTAAGCATACGGTAATAATAAAAAACCATTCTCTGTGTTTATAAGCTTCATTTTATACTTAAACATTTTTTCCAATAAAATTAGAATTTATGGAGTTATTCGCGAAAAACCGTTTAAAACATGCCTTTTTGACGTCTAATTTGTGAACTTTCAGTCACGAAAAACTTTAAAATATTGATTTTTTAAAAAAGATTTTTGAAAAAAAAATGGAAAAAAAACCTCAAAGGAACATTGTTGTCTCAAAATTTACTATTGTTATGACTACCATGATCTGTTTGATAAACGTTTTTCACCCTTGAGTTGGGGTGCTAACCACTCCCAGAGGACAAGATCATATTTAAATAGAGTACATTTTGATTTTTAACCCATTAGTGCACAGATTATTTTTTCGAAGTTTTTAATGTGATGCTAATATTTTTTTTGGAGCAGTTTTATTAAACCGTCACAAGTACTTGATGTCAGAGCACTAACATCTGCTAACCTGGGGACTGATCATAACCTTGTTTTATGTAAGATGCTACTAGAACGTCCGCAACGAAACAGAAAACCCCCAATGTTCATCGAAAAACATAATATAGAGTCGCTAGCAACAGAGAGTACAAAACTGCTCTATGAGAACAGAATTACCAGCAAACTAAAAGAGATCGACTTAAAACCCGAATGGGGAGTAGAAGATACTTGTCAAAAAATTAAGAAATGCATCAACGAAGCAGCAGAAGAAGCGATTGGAAAGCGGAAAATTAACACGAGAGCCACAAACCACACCAAACCGTGGTTTTGCCAAGAGGTAAAAGAACTCTCTGAATTAAAACGCAAATGCTACCTGAGATATAAAAGCACGCAATCGGAAGAAGCTCATGCAGAATATGTTCAAATAAGAAACGAAGTAAATGCCAGAATAAAATCAATCAAAAGAGAACATTGGGCCAAATTTACTTGCGACATGGACTACGACCTATAAAAGAAAGTATGAAAAATGCTCCGCAACAGGAAAAAACCAGTTAACGAGTTCGTGCAGACCAAAGGAGTACCTATAGAGACATGGCAACAGCATTTTAAAGAGCTATAATGAAGTGATGCTGAAGAAACGCTGAATATAAACGAAGGTGAAACAGATGTGAGTGCTACAATCAATGACGAAGAAGTAGAAGCAAAGATCAAAAAGCTAAAAAACAGAAAATCACCGGGAACGGATGGTATACCCAATGACCTTTTAAAATATGGAGGCCCGGAACTTGCAAGTAAACTGGCACAACTATTTAACAAAATATTAAATAAAACAGAAACACCAGAGGAATGGCATAATAGTATCACAATCCCCATATTTAAAAAAGGACAAAAAACCTGCCCACAAAACTATAGAGGAATAACCCTCTTAAATACAACAATGAAACTTTTCACGGGTATTCTCAAGGACAAATTGGAAAAGCAAATCACTAATGCTGAAGAACAACAAGGTTTTACAAAAGGGCGGTCTATAACAGACGCAGTATTTATAATAAAACAAATAAAAGAAAAAGCTATAGAGTTCGGCATGCCAGTGTATATTTGCTTCATTGATTTGACGAAGGCATTTGACAGAGTTCCTGGGAGACATTCTAAATATATTAATAGAAAATGAAACACCGACCAGTATAACAAAGATACTCCATAACCTAAATAACAACAACGTAACCAAAGTTAGAGCAGGAGACGAATTCACTGAAAATATTCCAACACCGGGAGGAATTAGACAAGGCGACAGTTTAAGCCCCTTCTTGTTTAATCTTCTCATGGGCAAAATTATCAACAAAGTAACATCTCTTAATCTCGGATATAGAATGGGCAACAAAAGAATTGGTATGGTGTGTTACGCAGACGATGCAGCAATTATTGCCGAATCAGAAGATGATCTCCAAAGGCAGCTCTTTCAGTTCTTTCAAACAAGCCCACTACTAAATATGAACATCTCTACCAACAAAACTAAATGTTTGACAATAGCAAAAGATCCGCTCAGATGTAAGTTAGTGGTTGAGGACAACCCCATAGAACAGGTGATGCAATTCAGATATCTGGGCATAGATATATCAAGCACCCACGACCCAGTAAAGGACCTGAGGAGTCAGATCAACAAAGCATCTGCACTGTCAGGATGTCTGCGGGAGATAGTCTGGTCAAATCCGTATATGCGCACAGATAGTAAAATTAGAATCTATAAGACTTGCACAGGACCAATCATGACATATGGCATAGAAGTGCGCGAAGATACAAACAAAATGAAACAGATGCTAAGGTTTGCCGAAATAAAAAACCCTAAGAACAATAATGGGGAAAACAAGAAGAGACAGAGTGAGAAATACAAACATTAAAGAGCAGTGCAAAATTCAAGATATTGTAAGATGGGGAAGGCAGCGCAAGAGGATGTGGTACAACCATGTAAGACGAATGGATGAGAATAGACTCCCAAAAATTGCCCTAGAAAACAATCCGCCCGGTTCAAGACCCCCCTGAAGACCACCCAAAAGATGGAGGGATAGTTGGCAATCTACCTCCCAAGAAATTAACCAGAGGCAGCTTCAGAATTAAACAGATCGAAAGATCTACAAAAAGTAGAAGAAGAAGAAGTTTTATTAAAAAACATAAAAATAAATGAATATTCGCATTCGGATTTATAAATCACTCATTATATGATGTTACGTATATGTAAAGCTAAATGCTAATGGGAGAAAAAAATACAAAATATATCTGTAAACAGTTCTATTTATTTAAAAACTGAACATAATTAAAAATGAATTTAAACCTAATATTTTTATTTATTTTATTTATTTAATAATTCTTTATACTTCCTGCGTCTTGAACTTTGGCAAAATCTTTCAGCAAAACCTCTTTTATTGTCGTTTGGAATTTTATCCACTAGGTGTTCAATCATATCATATCTAATTTCATCGGCTAGTCTTTGCTCATTAGAAGATGGAGATGGGGTCCTGCCAGTACCTTTGGGAGGTGACGAATATTTCTTCAAAGAAACTTGCACGATATCCCTTCGAAAGTCGATTTGGGACATCTGAGAATTGTTTGATTTTCTATACAAACACCATGCGTTATTGACTGAAATATTAAGAAGCCATATAAACAATGCTCAATACCATTTTCTGTTTCTAGTTTAAATCCTGTACTGTCCAAAATTCTGATCCATTTGATCAGTACCACCTATTTTTTTGTTATACTCTGCAAGTATGCTGGTCTGGTAACTTGTATGTGTTTTTTTTTTCCTTTTGAGAATAACGTCTTACATTTTGTTATTTGATTGATGCCATATCTATTTGAAGCAATGCAAACTACGGAATTATCGACCCACTTAGCTACTAGTACAACATTCGGCTTACTAATAATAATTTCATAGTATCCCCTTTCCTTTTTCTGAATATCTTTTTTAGCTAATAAAAGACAGCTTATAGGTAAACGGTTTTTCCTTGTAGTTCCCATGCCTTTGTATTCTTTCAAACGTAAATAAGACAATAAACTGAAGGTAGTTAAAAAATTGTTAAAGTAAAATAAGAATAGAAAAGATTTCAGAATATCAGGTAGTTTTTCTATCATTTTCACCAGTGGTGCTGCTGCCATTCCCAAATTTTTTTTAAGTCAATATTAGGAGTTACAGATTTTGCTTGCGTCGCATAGGCTTGGGATGGGCAGCATTTGGCAAGATGCGAGATATTCTAAAAGGAACGATTTGCTTGAAGAAAAAGGTTTACAACCAATGCATACTGCCAGTAATAACATATAGTTCCGAAACAATAACTTTAACCAAACATTCTGCAAATAAATTGAGAGTAACCCAAAGAAAATTGGAAAGAGCAATGTTGGGAATAACTAAAAGAGATATGGTACCACATAGGATAGTGAGAGAGAGGACTATAGTGACAGATGTCATAGAAAAATTGCCCAAGCCAAATGGAGATGGGATGGACATATAGCATGTTTAAATAATAATAGGTGGACCAAAAGACTCATAGAATGGAGACCTAGAGAAGACAAAAGACACCGAGGCAGACCACCATCCCTGGATAGACGACTTGAGAAAAACAGTCGGAAATTGGATACAGAAGGCGCAAGATAGAGAAAAGTGGAAGAATATGGAGGAGACCTATATCCAACAGTGGATGCAAGAGGTTGAGGAATGATGATGATAATGAATGATCTTAAAATTAATCAAATAGCCCATCACTGTATTTAAGCATCAAACTTTATAACCAACTTGTATGGGTTTGGCTTTAAAAAATTGCTTGCAGATATGTTTATCGTAGTATATGACCATACTTTTGTCGAAAGCTAAATCTTTTTCAGGATCAAAATACTTTCTGAATCTATCCTTTACTTTATTTATAAATGGTCGTATTTGCAGACCTTATAACTCTTATAACTCTTATCCAGATGCAATATTTGCGTTAGAATTCAAGTGAATAAGCCTCAAAATTTGCTCAAACATGTTGTGTCTCATAGCATTATAATATACAGGAAGGCATCGAACTACCCTAGAGTTGTAAATATTTGGGCCCGTTTAGGTTTCCATCGATAAAAAATGGACCGACAATATGGCCGCCTAACATCGCAGTCCAAACATTTAACTGTTGCAGATGCTGCGTTCGCACTTCAACACTGAGGTGTATATTTTTCCGAGAATAATACCTTGCAACGGATGAATTGTGTTTTTTATGTAATGAAAATGAAGATTGGTCAGAAAATAAAATAATTTTTAAAAAGTGTACATTTTTATTCTGTTTATTTAACATAAATTTATAAAACTCCATCCGCCCAAAAGTTATCTTCCGGAAACAGTTTTTGTATTAGTTGTATCTTAAAACAGTGATACCCATTCCTTTTGAGAACTCGCTGGAAAGTTCGAGCATTTAGGTTAGGTTTCTTAGCAATTTGTACACTAATGCAGGGTTCATTAGCTTCCACAAAAGCACAAATATCAATATCCCTGTTTTGACGCTTCTCATCGACATGTCTGACACATGGTTCATTACCTTTACTACACTTTATATAACTGTTAACACATCCCGAAGTTTGAAAATGTTTAATGGTATTTTTAACTGTTGTAACACTTGGTGAGGGTCTATTTTTGAAGGCAACAATAAATAAATCCATTACTTCGCGTATCGAATGATCTTGAAAGTACCATGTAACAAGTTACACTTTTTCTTGGACGGTATACAACGTAATAGACATTTTGTTAATTATTTGTTTATTCTTTAAGAACTTAGTTTAAAATTTTTATTGTTAATATAGAGGTGAAAACGTGTAACATGTCACAACGATTGTCGTTGTGTTGTATGGTTAATAAAACAATGCCGTGATCTGTATAAGTTCGTTTACAGTATTAAGACTTTGCTCCCAATCCACATGCTTGCTGGTAATATTATTATAACCACTAAGAATTAATATAGCACTGAAACATTCCAGTACCTATGGTGAGGCTCGTGGATCGGGTAGGTTCTTAAAAGTAGTATATTGGTTTGTTTCCTGTACCACGAATAAAACGATTTCTTTATCTATGAACATTTCAAATATATCAACAACTTCCTTTTTTCAAACCGTTAATAATCCGAGTCAAAAATTGTTTTCCGTTATATGTGGATCATAAACTTTTGGATGTACCATACAAGTATATGTAATAGGGATATCATTCGCCAAAGAAATGTTACCTTCTGTCGATTCTGACTGTTGAATAGGAATTTCTTTTCCTAGTACAATTCCATCAGCAGTTCTCTAACTTCTGCATCGGCAAGTAGCTGACGTTTTCTCAAATTGTAAGTAATGTAAAAATGAAAACATGATGTAAACACTAGCACCTTTGGACAAGAACAAACCTGTTTTCAACTGAAAATTTGTGACGTAGGCGATAGAGGATTTATTTAGATGACACCAATTTGCCGTTACATAATAGTAACGTTAGGAACTAACTCGTTAATCTATTTTAAAACTACCATGGACCTACCTGAAAACAAATCGATGCATGTAAAAAATTTAGAGGTTTTCTACTATTTTTACCGTCATATCCTGGACTATTCCACAAAAAACACCATTGGATAAAATGTTTTCTGTCAAATCAGTTTTTGGTTTATTTTCAATTTTTCATATAATTAGAACCGTTTTAAATCTATTACATTATATAATATTTTAATTTTAGGTATCAGCTGCAGAACCTGTTAATATAAAATTTACAAAACTATTAGATGTCAAGGTAGAAGGTAGGGCTAACTCGTGGAAAAATGACTTGGGAAGATTTCTTTATCCGCAAAATGAGGACGTTGATCTAGGTAAAATTGTTATTCGACGTTAAGTTTAACCTAAATCTATAATTTTTGATCGCTTACGGATATTCACACTACCATTAAAATTATACAAATTTATGTCAGTTTTGTGTATCATTTCTATAAACGAAAGCAATAATTATTATAGTCTTGGCTCCATAAACTAGTAAATACCTACAATCTCCAATTTAGCTCCATAAATGTTTTATATCTTTATTGGAAATATAAACACCGATTTATAACAAGAATTAGCAGACCCAACTGCTCTTCAATTTTCCCATATTTTATCTAATCTCAGGTTAATTTATTTTAATTATTTTATTATAAAACTATAATTTTTTACCAGTTTGCCTCTGCATAGAAGCATGTTAATAATGGTATACTTCTGCTTTTCTGATTTTGATACTCGTCAATTTGTTAATATTTTTAAGTAGCTAAATTGTTGTCCTATGAATTGGGAAAAATATTTGAAGTAATAGTAACAATGCTAAGCAGTATCTTCCTTCTCTATCCTTTATTCTTCGTAAGAATGTGGTGAGGTCATAGTATTTGACGAATTGTTTCTGTCCATTCTACTATCTCTTTGGCGCGGGGTGCTGCTTCAGACAGAGAGTAACCGGTAGCACACTTTATTTGCTTTGGCTATCGGAGTGGCGATAGCCATATTGAATTTTACTCGAGTTCTTTTACCATCTACCTTGCCTTCAACCCTCAACCTCTCCATGCCTTCCATTTATCTGGTAATGTATCCAAAGTACCTCAATTCTATTACAACAACAGAATTTACTGACAGCATTGTCAATGAAGCCGCTGACCGCATATCTCGTTTCAAAAATTTTTTGATTAGAGGCGTCCCCGAACCTACAGGAGACGCACAAAATAAAAAAGATCATGATAAGAATAAAATACATTTAGCCCTAGAAGTCATTGGATGTCAAGAAAGTCTGTTACATTTTATAGAGTCGGTAAACCAAATCAAAATAAACGTTATCCCCGCATGATAAAAGTGATAATGAGTTCTGAACACCACACTCGAAAAATTCTTCGTAACAAAAATAAACTTTTGGAGAACAAATCTACTGAAACTTATTCTGTTATTGATGACAAGACACCTATGCAGCAACTTCGTTTAAAGGAACTTCGTACTGAGCTTGAAACTCGTAAAAATAATGGAGAAAATGACCTTACGATTAAATATGTGAATGGCTGTCGAAAGATAATGAAATTTCGTTCATAATTTTTCTGCACTAAAATTTACGGATTGGCTTCTTATATATACGAATCTAAACTCTCTTATGTCCAAATTTAATGAATTTATAAGTACTGTTTAACTTTTAAAACCTCACATTATTCTCCTAACAGAAACGTGGCTTAATTCTTCTATTCCCGATGCTATTGTAAACATTGATAATTTTACTATATTTCGTAGAGACAGAGGTACTCGTCGAGGGGAGGAGTATGCATCTATTTAGCAAATGAAATTACCAACACTTTTTCCATCAGTAATAAAACAATAGACGTACCCGGTATAGAAATTATCCACTTACTTATTACTAAAAACTCTTTCATATTTAATATAGTTTGCATATATCGACCTCCCGATTCAGTACTTACTCACGACAATATGCTTATTAACAAACTTGAGGAATTATCATCCCTTGAAAATCTTATTGTTGTTGGAGATTTCAATTTTCCAGAAATAAGCTGGCCCATTATTTCCAAAACTGATACTATTAATTCCCAAACTTTGTTTAAAAACTTTATCATGAACTCAAATTTATTACAACTGATAACTGAACCTACAAGGTTTAGAGTCAACAATAATCCTTCAATTTTAGACTTATTTTTCAAAAATGACCATGAATTAATTTCTACACTTGAAGTGTCCTCTCCTGTAGGTCTTTTTGACCACTCACTTATTACTGCTCACATTCAATTTAGTTTAACACCGCCTTGCAAAAATAATTTCGTAACGTATGCCACTACTAATTTCTTTGATGTAAATTCAGTTTTATCCCAGATAAACTGGCAATCTATTTTTCCTAATCACTCTGATCCATCGTCAATGTGGGACTCTTTTCTTCATACTGCTATTACAACAATTTCTGATCATACAACCGAACGGCAGGTATATAGAAATCGACTAAAACCTTGAATTAACCTTTCAGCTACTCATTTAATTCGACATAAGCGAAAGCTTTGGCGAACATATAAACTCACTGGTTCCCCTGATGATTTTCTCGCCACCGTAATTTTTCTAACCGAGTCAAACAATCTTTGCTAATGTTAAGAACAGAATTTGAGGAATCTATCATTGCAAGTGGTAATAGTAAAAAAGTTTATCGGTACATTCGTACATCTTTATCTTCTAAAGTCTCCATAGCATTGCTTCAAAAAGCTGATGGGTCTCAATGTTCTTGGAATAACGAATCTTCGAAATGTTCATCGTTATTCTTTTCTCTAGTTTTTACAGATGAATCTAACGATCCCATTCCTCAAATAATGTGCCTCCGTTTGTCTAAAACTCTTGACAATATATCTTTCATACCGGATGAAATTAAATATCATTTAAGGAAACTGCGAAATAATTCATCACCTGGATTAGACGGACTCACCTCTTTTTTCCCCAAACAATGTGCAGATTCTGTAGCCATCCCTATATCTCTCATAATGACATGCTTCTTTTAATCAAGGTTCTTTCCCCTCGTTCTGGAAATTGGCTTCAGTTACTCCTGTATTCAAGAAAGGTAATAAACTTGATTGCAATAATTATCGTCCAATCAGCCTGGTTCCTATTGCCAGCAAGGTCATGGAATCGATTATTTCGGAAGCTATGTCCGAGTTCCTTCTTCAAGAAAATGTCATCCCTCACCAACAGCATGGATTTATCAAAGGTCGTTTTACGATCACAAACTTACTTCATTGTGTAAATGATTGGTCATTTAAACAATCGGAATCCTGTCGATGTAGTTTACTTAGACTTCTCTAATTTGGATCACTATGGTATCCGCGGAAAATTAAACATTTGGATACAAGATTTTCTATCCGACAGATACTTCAGGGTTCGTGTTGGGAAGACCACTCATTAGATAAGCCAGTCAAGAGTGGAGTTCCACAATTATCAGTACTTGGACCGCTACTTTTTTGTGTCTACACTAGTGATCTTCCGCTCATTGTATCCAGTAAGGTTTCCATTTACGCTGATGACACTAAGTTATATGTGAATCCAACTATTAACCAACATATTACTAACCTCTGTTAGTAAACTTTACTCAATATACGTTAGACCTATTCTTGAGTTTGCCGGACCAGTGTGGAATCCAGATCTTAGTCCCGATAAAATCCTACTTGAAAACGTTCAGCGTAAAGCCACAAGACTGGCATACGGCCGTGTAAGACCTAACTATGAAGATAGACTATTCATGGCTCATCTTACGACATTCGAGCAGCGACGTCTTCGAGGTGACCTAATTATGTCCTTCCGTATTTTAAAACATAATTTTGGGAACCTAAACAACATATTCACTTTGAATGAAGACAATAGATTAAGAGGCCATCGATACAAATTAAAGAGGGAACAAACTACTCCAAGGTCCAGGGCGAACTTCTTGCCAAACAGAATCTTTAATATATGGAACAATTTGGATCAAGACACCATATCGGCAGCTAGTGTTAACATCTTTAAAAATAAACTTGACAGAACTTTATTTTTTTTATAGGATAGGATATTTTTTCTCGGACAGCATTATTTATTTATTTATTGTGTCACAATTCAATTTTCGTTAATTGTTTAACTACTTAACTTTATAATTAGTATTAGTTTTATAAGGATCTATTCTATTTTTGTTTATTTTTGCTTTTTGGGCATAATAGGAGCTCGCTCTTCTGCCCTTATTTGTTATATAATAATAATAATAATAATATAATGAATTGAATGAAAAAGACAGCAAATATTTGATTTCACGCAAACAGCGTCTATGTATCTGTTGATACTTATTCCGACCTAATAGGTCTCATCAGAACAGTTATTTATAGGCGTTCTCAACGTAAAAATTCAATATTTTCTGTCTTTTAAGAAGCAACACTAAAATGGCTTCGATATGGACGCCATAGCAACATTTAACTTTATCAACGTCTGTAATACCTTGCAATTTTTAGAAGGTTCAGATAAAGCAGAAATCTGAATTGTGTTTCGAAACTATTTTACGTGTTTATTATCAGATGTCCCTATTGCGTCCATATCGAAGTCAATGTAGTTATGCTTCTTAAAAGACAGAAAATTTTGGTTTTTCACGTTAAAAACGCCTATGAATAACTGTTCTGATGAGATCTATTAGGTCGAAATACGTATCAACAGATACATAGACGCTGCTTGCGTAAAATCAAATATTTGCTGTCTTTTTCATTTTATTCGGATCTACTCTGAACGAGTACAAGAAACCAATTCGCTAAGGATTTCTGCTTAGTTGAAGAGACATGTCGTGAAATGCAAATTTTAGATTCCCCATGCCTCTTTTAACATCTTTATCAACGTCTATAATACCTTGCAATTTTTAGAAGGTTCAGATAAAGCAGAAATCTGAATTGTGTTTTGAAACTATTTTACGGATTTACCTCAATATATTTTGGTTGATGATTGTGATTGTAGTAAGTCTAGTATTGATATCGAGTTCTGTCAATATTGAGACATTTGTGCGATGTGCTGTCTGGGGCATGCGCATTATTCTACGATATACCACATTTCAAAGGCCATTATACGTGGTGAGTCAGCATGTTAATAGAGCTGAGCGGTATGTTAATATTTAAATTAAATATGCAATATGTCACTGAAGAATAAAAAAAGTGTTGAAGAAGGAAGACCAAATAATACCTAGACAATTGGATAAAGCAAGTTGAGGGCGACCCTAGATCCGGTCAATCTAGACAGTTTTATTAAAACACTAAAGGTCAATTAAATAAATCGTCCAAAATTTATAAAAGATCATGGAGGACAACTTCTCATCGAAAATACGGATAAAACCTAATAATGGAGAGAGTATTTCATACAATTGTTAAATATTGACCACTCAACGGGAACATAATATTATAAATAAAAAGAGTATCACTTAGCAGAACTTAAAATAGCCTTACCAGCACTTGACAAAGTAAAGGAAGCACTACTGGTAGTAAGAAATAACAAAAACCTGGGCCAGGATGGCATCCATGCGGATATGATTAAGAAAGATGAAAAAAGACTTTACATACAAATACATCACCTTGTACATGAAATGTAACAAAGAAAAGAAGAAGTACCAATACAATGGCGCAAAAGCCACATAGTACCCGTCCGCAAAAAGCAAGATAAACATGTATGTAAGTACTATAGGGAATTATCATTAACTGACAAAGTTGTGTCGATCATTCTACTGAGAAGATTAATTCCATATAAAGAACAAATAAGGTGAGAATACCAGTAAGGTTATTTTAACAATAAACAAGATATGTTGCGCCAAATTTTTAAAAACTACTGGAAATACAACAAAAATCTAAATACAATTCTTGTTAATTTTTAAGAAGCGGATGTCTATGTAATCCTGATTAACATACTTCCAATTTGTTGTATCTTTTCATTTAATTCATCTATCCATATTCATGCCTTCGTAATGAACGAAGCTCCATTTGAGTTTGGCAAATTTTTGTTGTAATATCCTTGACTTTTGTTTTCAATCTTGTTCAGTCGTTCCTATCTTTATTTCACAGTTCTATTTCTTTGTGTAATGGCTAGTTTCTTTATATTTGCTTTGTTAATTGTCCAGGTTAGATATTCATATGTCATGAAAAAATGAACTCATTGGACAATTCTTTAAGGATTGTGGTGTATTGTTTCTTATTGCTCTTCTACTGGTTTCCGTTCATTGGTTCACGTATTCAAGTTTAAGAATTTGGCCTAGGTAGATATTATATTCCTGGACTTGTCCTATCTCACTGCTATTTATAGATACATGTATGGAGCCGTCTGAGTTTGTCATTATTATTGTTTTTGTCATTTTCATTTTTAGATTGACGTCTGCGAGTTCTTCTATTATAATGTGTACTGTTGCCATTAACATTGATGATGTATGTTGACTAATTTCTAATTTTAAAGACGTTTCCTAGAGGTAGAGTAATAAGATTTGAATATATTAACTTCTCTCTTAATGGGCATGGAATTTATATACCTGCTATTAGTCTTAGCTAAACTGAATTTATTTTGCACATGTTGAACATCTGAACATGATTTAAACTAGTGATTTCACACATACGGTGCGTTTGTGAATGGACTGGCGCTATCTGGGGTAGAAATGTGCTAAAGCTGTCAAGCTTTTTTGTTCTTCTTAAGGTGGAAATTATCCAGGTTAACCTATCCCTAGAGATGGCTGGTGTATGTTAAATTCAGGGTAGATAAGTACATCCTGTTATACTGCCTCCCAAATAAAACCACCTTCTCCTAGTTGTGCGCAGTTAACTACCGTTGTTCCGTTTTTCTTCCTTCTTGTTAATGACTGTTCGGATGTATTTGTGTACATTATTCTATCCGTACTTACTTTCCGCCATCTTTACGATCATCTCTCTCACAGTAACAGGGTTCATACCTGTTTCTCTATACATTCTGTTTCTTTTCACTGTTCATCTACTACAATGAGCATTATATGAGTAAAGTGTAAAGTGTATGTAAATGTGTAAGTATTTGCAGTATAGGCATTTGCATGTATCTCCCAAGCTGCCAGGCTAAATATGGGCTCTATTGCTCACCTCTATTAATTTTAATTGGATTGAAAATACAACTAAGTCGCTTTAGGTAAGTTGTACCCTTAATTATTAATATAATAATTAAGGATACAAATATAGAGAGGCGTGTGTGTATACAGTGGTAAGAAAGATGATAAATTTAGCATAGTTTAGGTATTCTTCTCTCTCATTATTCTTCCAAATTTTCCAATATCCATTACTACAAGACGTATTTAAGTCTCCCAAATAAAATTATTTATCTTATTCTTCTTCTTTGCGTGCCATATCAGAATTTTCCGACATATGGAATAATTGTCCTGCATTTGATGTCTGAGTCCATTCACGAATGTTTTTTAACCAAGAAACTTGTTTTCTTCCTACACCTCTACGGCCCTTTATTTTGCCTTTAAGGATCGGTTGTAATATTTTATATCGACTTTCCGTTACTATATTTCCCAGATAAGACATTTTTCGATGTTTAACAGCATTAACAGTTTTCCATCTTTGTTGACGCTAATTAGTATTTCATCTTTAGTTTCTTTCTTGCTGTCCAACGTATCTTTAGCATGCGTCTATAAACCCACATTTCCAATACTTCAATTTTGTTCATGATCGATACTTTTAGCGTCCACACTTCTGCACTATACAAAAGTACGGACCAAACATAGCAATTAACCATTCTTTGTCTTTGTTCTAAACTGAGATGCTTATTGCAAAGAAATTACTTTAATTTCATGAAAGTAGATTTACTCATTGCTATTTAAATTTTTATTTCTATATCTGGATCTAATTGGTCTATTATCACAATTCCCAAATATATCATGTTGTGAACCTTCTCAACTTGGATTCCGTTTAATTGAAGCTTTGCATCAGGATGTGGGTCACGACTAAACCCTAAAAATTTGGTTTTGTTTGAGTTTATTTTAATGCCCATTTCCTCTCCTACCTCGTGAATACGATCAAGCAGAATTTAAAGACCTTCAATATTATCTGATAAAATTACTGTATCGTCATGCATCTAATCACCTTAAGTAGTTCCCCGTTGATTTTGATTTCATATGGTTGTCTCTAAAGTGCATTTTTAAATAACTGGTTCGAGTAAACATTGAACAATGTTGGCGACAAAATTCAAATAACGATTTCATTGGTGTAGTTATCTACAATTTTTACGATAGCAGTTAGATCCCAGTACAAATTTTTAATGACGCGAATATCCTTGTCATCTATTGCGATATTTTTTAGTATTTGTATTAATTTTACATGCTGTACTTTATCGAATGCCTTTTCGAAGTCTACGAAACATGCAAGTACATATTTTCTTTGACCACGGCATTCTTTTAATAGAATGTTAAGCGCAAAAGGTACCTCTCTGTTCCCATAGCATTTCTAAAACCAAATTGAGTACCTTCAAGATCTTCTTTGCATTTGTGTTTAATTTTGTTGTAAAGTATTTTTGGTAAAATTTTTAGAGTATTGCTCATTAGGCTCATTAATCAATATTCTGAATATTTTTTCGCATATGTTATCATTCTCTATTAGTTTCAGCAACTCAGTTGGTGTATCATCTGTACCACAAGCTTTAATAATTTCAGCATTATTTATAGCGTATTATATAGTCCGTCTAGAAAGTATCCGGAATTTCCTATTGTTTCCAATTTTAATAGATTTCCTTTTTGTAACATTTTAAGACAAAAGTAATGCATAAGTAGGTTGTGCCGATAGTACGTTATGGACAAAATCGCATGACAACACCATCTGTCAAATATTGTTGTTTGTAAACAGACTTAAGATTTGTGAAATAATGTCGCAAGTAGAAAAAGAAAAGTGGTGGAATATTTGTATAGAAAGGGTGTCCGAAACGTTAAAAAATTAGTGCAATTGACTGAACTAGGAAAAAGTGCAGTGTATGAGACAATAAAGAGAATAAAAAATAGCATAGAGGTCTAGGGTTTCGAGAATTAGCGAACAGATTTGGAAATATCAAAAAGCAAGGCTACATATCAAGGAATCCAAAAAAAATACATTCAATGACACCTCTGCAAAAGCAACGAAGAATAGATTTTGGTCAACGTTTTCAAGAAGATAATTTTAATAATATGTTTATATCTGATGAAAGTTTTTTCCAGCTTGGTGCAAATCATATTAAAGTCCTATCAAGAGAAAATGTTATCGTTCAAATTTCCAAATTTGCCACTAAACTAATGGTTTGAGGAGCAATATCTCAGCGTGGTGCTACACCTCTCTTTAAAGTTAGTGGTACTGTTGATAGTGCGAAATATTGTGACATCCTAAATGGTTTTCTTCTTGAAACGACTCATATTTTATATCCAGATGCGTGACATTTTCAGCAAGGTAATGCAAGATGCTATACTTCTGCTTATACTCAAGCTTGGATGCAAGAACACGAAGTGGCAACAATTCCGTGGCCAGCAGCATCTCCAGATCTTAGCCTTATTGAAAACACATGGGGACTGATGAAGATTAAAGTGGAACGAGCAGATACACGAGATAAAGAAACTTTGATTCGGTCAGTTTTACAGGCATGGAACACCATTACCGAAAATTATGGCTTTGACCTAGTTTCGGGTGTACCTGGACGTTTAGTGAAGTGTTTAGATTTACATGGAAGTTGTATAAGTAAATGAGATAAATTATTTGTTGAAATTTTATATTTCAAGTGATAGATATAAATTATAATAAAATTAAAATTCTGGTTTCTTTTTTCCGGATACTTTCTAGACGGACTATATCTCGCATTTCATAATTTCTTGGCCGTCAGTACAGTTTTCGTAGAATTCGGCAATATTATTCTTGTCATCTTCAAACAACTCTAATATATACAGCTGCCACTCTTTTCTTATTTCCTGCTTATTTACATGTATCTTATATTTTTGCCAAATATTACGTATAACGTCAATCAGCAGACTCATCATGCTAGTCTTATTGCAATTTAATTTTATCTTTTTTTTTGTAGGTACCAAAGAAGAGTACGTACAGGTTCCCATGAAGTTTTCATTTGCAATCGATAGAGTGAATGGTTTTCAGGAATATGAAAACACTTTAAAAAATGTATTTGACCAGTGCAAGTACCTAGTTGGTAAAAGTCAAATATCGTTTTGTCGCTTAAATCCAGTAAGAACATTGTCCGAAACTGGAAATACTTATCCAAGAAGTTGCAGAGAAATTTTAGAAAGCGGTAAGAAAATAAAAATGTTTATTTAGTTTAACATATATATATATATATATATATATATATATATATATATATATATATATATAATATATATATATATATACATATATATATATATATATACTACATTTACCATAAAATATTATTTTTTAGCTCTCTGCTATCTTTTTGATAATTATTATAGTTAGGGTTTCCATTTCTAGGTCAGAACTGAAGTTACTGTTTGTCATTTATCAAGAGACACCTATAATGTATAAGTACTGTGTTTTGAAGAATATTGCTATATTTCAGGGGTATAGTATCAAAAATGGCTATGTCCATAATTTTCAGAAATTGACATTTTGATGGCAACATTTTCATTTTGAGACAGCCTATTACCTAAAGAAATAGTTTGGGATTAAATTTAGCTTAGTCCAGAGAAATTTTGATTAAAAAAAATTGGTTGGAAACAAACTTGGTTACGTCCATATAAACTCAGTATCAAACATAGCTACGCGCACGCCAGCCAATAGGAGCTCTTCATTCGAACCAAATCTGTAATGGCCACTAATATAATTTATGTGTTGTTACGGTGTCAGTTTTTCGCATTTTAAATAAGAATTCCTGTGATTTCAAGTAAAATCTATAGTTTTTTGTCAAGATGGATGTTTTTCCTATGCCCGTTAATCAAAACCAGGCACGAAAACGGATTGCACAGCCACAAATGTGGAAGGCTAACAAGACGAAAAAAGAGAGGTAAATTCGTTCTTTTGCCAGGCCCGTACCGCAGGTCAGATTTAGGTATAGTCGAACCCCCATATTGAAATAGCCATCGTGCCAAGCAAAAGTATTCCTATAATCGGGATTTTCTAACAACCGACCATTGGTGGCTAGTAGAATCGTTTCGGGACCTCAAATTTCTATTCCTTAAACCAGGATATTCCTAAATAACCAGTAATCTTCTTCTAATAAGCGGGTTCGACTGTATAATCTAGTGATGGGTATAATTTCTAAAGCCACGTATCCATTTCGCGAGGCTACCACGCGCGTCATGTTCGTTGTCGTTACCGCCGAAAGTGGACACCACACTATTACGCGAGGCAAAGCCATAAAGCGTTTGCAAAACTGTTATAATTATTGAAGGTGAGCTAGGCCGCGCGCGGCAGCCTCGTGAAATGGATACGTGGCTTTAGAATGAAGAATTTTTCGAGTAATACCGAGAACCCTATTCGCTTTTAATGCTGATTAAAAATAAATACTGTTTTATATTCATCAATGATTCCTGATTTGTTCCTGAAGTACCGAGAACCAAGAACCTTATTCGCTTTTAAAGTTGATTAAAAAATAAATACTGTTTTAAATTCATCAATAATTCCTGATTTGTTTAATGTTTACATTCGTTATTGGCTCTCACACTCACTGAAATGTGTTTACAGAAATGTGATATTTTCTGAATTTGATAATCTTGAGAATAAGCACATTTTCTTTGTTGAATGAGGAATCCTATTAAAAAAATTAGTATCAGTTGTGCAGTTGTATTGCGTTTTTTTTTTGTATCCCAAAAAATATTCATTACGTTAGTTTATTATATTCTTTGACCTCCAAAAAGATTTGTTTATAAAACTAACTTATAAAACTAACTTATAGCGACGGCTTCCTCAGTCAGTATTCTAATAATTTGTTTGATTTAAGTGTTCGAGATATCTTGAGAACTTTCAGGAATCGAATACTCGTCGATTCTTGGTATTTGAGAACCCCACCACTAGAATAATATATGACTAATATCGTTGGATGTTTAGATGAGCTCTTTTAGTTTGCGACTTATGCTACCATGGGGCTAAAAACAATTTAGAGTAGAAAAAAGAGTTCATAGCTTGAGGGAAAAAGCTTTCTATTCGCTGCTCAAGACAGAAGAAGAGGGTTTGAAAATAATTTCTTATGATTGCCAAAAAGACGTGAATCTTCCTAAAGTACCAGATCAATCGTGTTATTATAGCAGGCAATTATATCTTTTTAATTTCACTATTGTGGAAGGAACTTCAAAGACACCACTTAATAAAAACAACGTTTTCGCAAATGTCTGGACAGAGAACACTTTCTCAAAAAATTCTAATACAATAGCATCTGCAGTGTATAACCACCTAAACAAGATGGATCTTACCAATATAACTACCATTAGACTGATCTCAGACGGCTGCGGAGGTCAGAATAAAAATTCCACCATAATCACAATGTGTTGCAAATGGTTGTTGGAACATTCTTCTATTAAAACAGTAGAACTGGTGTTTCCAGTAACTGGCCATTCCTATCTTCCAGCAGATAGAGTGTTCGGAAACAGTGAAAAGGGATTTCGTAAAATGGACACAATACTAAGCCCGAATCAATAGATCGATATCATTTCACAGCAGGCAACTATTGTAAAAGTAGGCGAAGATTTCATTGTATATGATTTCAAAAAGGAAGCTGAAACAATACTGAAACCCCCCGGACAGTGGAAAGTACAGTTTGCGCAGTGTAAAAGATTCTATTTAAAACGATCGAAGCGGATCGGAAATGTGTTGGTTCAGTCGGAGAGATTTTACAGGAATCAATCGGGAAAATATGAAAATGTTTGTCGGAAATCTAAAATTATGAGTATGATTGCTCCTAAAAAAATAATACAACACATACCTGTAAAGGCATTAAAAGTAAGGGACGTTAAAAATCTGCTATCAAAACATTTTGGAGAAGACTGGCAAGGCCTAGAACAATTAAGATTCTATTCAGATGTGATAAACATTGCTGAAACTCTGGCTGAGAACGAAAATGACAATGAAGAATTGGAATGTGAACCAAGAGAAGAAACACTGCTTTTGTTGATATAATATTGTTAAAGTGATGATTTGTACTGAAACAAATATGTTAGAGATTTTTTTTTAGTTTTATCTTTTAACTATAGTTGTGTTGCTTTATAATGTTAGCCTGTAAGAAATATACATACCCAAAAAAATAAATAAAAAAACCTAATTTTTGTACATAAATAGTTGACCAGCTGAAGAGTGACACGTGATGCTAGTGATACATGATACAAGGCGCGAGGAAACCTCATAAAAATAATGTTCATGATACGCAGTATTTTGACACATTATACTGAGTCCGGCCGGTGAGATTACGTTGGAATCAAACTTGGTCAAGTCCTGTGAAGTTGGTATCAAACATGGCTATGTGCATCGCTTGGGATCAAAACAGGTTACGTCCAATAGTTTCTATCAATTCAGCGTATTTCCTGCTCTTGTAGTATGCTGAATGTAATACCAATATAAAGAGTGACTTTTCTTTCATTGTTTTAACAGTAATTCTCAAATTTTAGTTGCTGCCATCAAAAGTGAGAGTGTTTTTTTACTTCCTGTCAAATCATGCACGATGGACGTAGCCAGATTTGATCCTATACCCCTGATTTGTTATTTCAGTCCATTCCCATATGGGCTACCATAGGTCCATATGTCACAATATTAATTTTCATTGTAGAATCTTTTTTAATGGCACAAGAAAATGGTTTTCAAAAAGTATCACTGAAATTCTAGAGAAGAGATGAGTTAATTAATCACCCTATAGTGGAGATTATGTCGGTGAATTAGATCAAATTTTACCTAAAACAATTTTGTTGCAGAATTTTTTTGTTATCTATTAATATTTGTACTAGATGACTTTGTATCAAGGAATTGATACAAAGGGTACAAATTAACACGCATAGATAACGGTTTTTATAAAATTTCCCTATTTTTATAGACCTGTAGATTAAGTGTACATAAACTAGAAGTACTTTTTTTAACAAAATCGTATAAATTTTTTTGCATGTCCAATTTGAATCTTGCGTATTTGATCAAAAACTATATCTCTGGATATTGCACGATTTTTCGTATGGTGCGCCGTCTACAAATCTGAAAAACTGTTTTTTTAAGAGTTCAATTAAGATCAAATTTTCATTAAACTATATAAATGAGGCCTTTAGGACATTTAAGAATTAAGCGAAAAACCTTTAAAACCCCCCAAAAAATAATGTTTTATGCGGTTTTTAGGAGTTTTGACAGGGTTACACCAATGTAGTTTTTGATATCGAGAAAATCAGTTTTCTTATATTTTTAGTCTAATAATAATAACACAAATTACTTTTTCGGTTGATCTTGATTCCGACAAGATATTTTCGCGTCAAATAAATATAAATATTTCCATTTAGATTGGTGGGAAAATGTATGCTGACAAGAAAATGATTTTCGGAAACTAATATTACTCCTCAGTGAACCGCCTTCCAAAGTAGACGAATTGTTTGAGTCCGGATTTTTAAAAAAATTGTTATCGGTATTGATTTTGTCAAGAGAACGAAAATGGATCTTTTTGGTGATAGTTTCAAAACCAGCAAATTTTGGCTTAATTCGAATGGGTTTTGATTAAAAGGAAGGTAATTAATAAGCTCAAATACTATTTGGCAGTCTTCGTAAAGTGAGATAGTCACCGGTTTGTTGCTGTATTCCGTGTCACGGGATTTGATAAACACCATGGCTGAGGGCTAAGGGAGGCCCACATGGTTTTAGGTGAAAATTAAGCAGTCAAGTTTTGGAGATGATACAGGATAACCTGAAAGTCGATTCGAAGTTAAACCTCCGCTAGTCCAGCTTTCATTGTGTGTCTCCCATGTGTCGACTCCATATCGTTTAAAATTTGTGTAGGACAGTGCTTTTTTTTATCTACTTCCAAGGTTACAAATTTTCTTAGTTACTTAGAAAGAAATAATCAGCCCGTTAATCAAAGTATTTTTGTTAAATTTTTCTAAATAAAATAAACATTTTTTGTTAATATACTAAAATTTGGATTAATCGTTAATCTCAAATGGAGGGGGTTGGTGGGCTAAAATTACGCTGAGCCCTTTTTTAATCGCATTCTTCTTCGTCTTCATTACCTTATCTGGTGCGGTTGTTGGCGATCATCAAGGCTATCATGGTTTTGTTGATTGCTCTGCGAAACAGCTCCGCTCCTCTGTCAAATACTTTACCCTGCATAACCAGTTGAATAATTCGATATTTTTCTTCGTTCCACATCACGTGGCCGAGGTACGTTGTTATATTAAATTAAGCACTTCCTTTTCTTTTGTCATGCGCTGTAGGACCTCAACGTTGGTGGCATGGTCCACATAAGATATTTTTAGTATCCTTCTGTATATCCACATCTCGAAGGCTTCGATTCGTTTTTCAGTGGCTTGCGTCAGTGTCCAGGCTTCAACTCCATATAGTAACACTGGAAGAACGTAGCACCTCACTATCCGCATCTTGGTTCCCAAACTGAGATCACTGCAGCACAGCAAGGATCTCAACTTAATAAATGTAGATCGTGCCATTTCAATTCTGGATCTAATCTCTTGAGCGTAGTCCCATTGTGAGTTGAGGGTAGATAATCACACAGAACGTAAAAAAATTTAAAAAATTAAATACTGTGAGTGAGAGCATCCTTCATACTGGGGGTGAGAGCATCTTTCCTATCTCAACATGTGGCATCCTTTGTACGCTTATTACAATATTACTGTTTCAGGTAACAACAAGTCAGGTGTATACATAATCAAACCTAGAACAAGTAACAAGCCATTTGCTGTTTTATGCGATATGGAAACTAAGGGGGCGGATGGACTCATATTCAGAAGAGGTTTGATGGATCTCAAGATTTTTATCTACCTTGGAGAGACTACAAATTCGGTTTTGGGGATCTTATGGCTGAATTTTGGATTGGATTGGAAAATATTTACCATATGACAGGTAATATAATATTAACTGAAGTAACTGCACTGTAACTGCAAGAGCAGTATTGTATTTTTCTTTTATCGAATGTGCTGAATAATTATTTTGTGTACTCATGCGCCGAAGTACCTCATTGTTTGTACCCATGAAATTTTCAGCATCAGTCTGTATATATATATATATATATATATATATATATATATATATATATATATATATATATATATATATATAAATATATATTTTAAAGACATATTAATTCATTTCATCACAAATTTGCCAGAATACAAATTTAGATACTGAATGCTGTTGTTCATTATTTACACCAAGAAAGTTTAAGTACTCTGTGTACAATTTATATTTTGATTGCCACAAAAAATCCAAGTATAATTTGGCGGTAACTTTTCTACAGTAATACAGAGACTAAGATGTAAGATGTCAAATAATAAGTACATAAAGACATTGACATTCTCAAACCCAGAGGGTAAAAGAAGTAGAGGACGACATAGATGTAACGGACTGATGATGAGAAAAAAGGTCTTAAGAATATAAGGTCAGAAGATAAATAAAAGTTACCAGGAATCGACGGGATTGACGAGTTTTCTGCAAACGGTCTAAAATCCACAAATGATTGTCGTGCCAATTGTGATGACAAGGAATTTTATCTGGTGTTTTCAGTTAACATACATATCGCACCCTCAGTGCAAGACTGCAGTAAGTCATAATAAGAATAAATAAGTTTCGCGATAAAGACGATTTTGTTTATTTTCGTGCTAATATCGGTCAAATAAGACACAAGTTTAAAAAAAAATAATCACTTATTTATGATTTTACATGCTTTTTAGCCTATATTAGATACATTAACCAAAAATATAAATTTAAATAAAATAATATTAATGCTAAAAAAATTAGGAATTTTAAAGTTACAACACTTTTGCACGGAGAAAATTGTTAATCACTACTCATTTAGTATTAGAATTCTAAAGTTACAACACTTTTGCACGGAGAAAATTGTAAAAGCTGTAGACACATTTTCTGTTAGTTGTTGTTCTCTTCTCGTATATCATCTTGGTCCAAAATATTTTTATAAAATCCATGGTGGGCTTCTGGTATCATATCTGAATGGCAACAAATCATCGGGTAAGTAAAGAAAAATTAATCCCCAAAAGCATTCGGGATTTAGTATGGTATTAAACTTTACATTTAATCGATTTCAAAAAATAGATTCTCTGATATAGATCTGATCAAAATCAGACAGCTACCTAGAATAAATAGGTACCTAATAATTACACTGTCATAATAGGGTAGAAAATTATTTGTAAAACTTTCAATATTTTTATTTAAATAATTGAAAACAAAAGGACTATTAAAAATATGAAAATCAGGCTAACTTGAGTACAGTGATTAACAAAAGGTTAGAAATTCACTACCTTAGTAAAAGTTACTGGGGGACAGTATGATAAGACAATCTCCCCGGAAGGTTACATGAAAATTTAATACAATTTGTGATTTAGTTTTTATAGAAAAAGTTTTCTAAGAATAGATATTTTTAACCTGTCAGTATTGTTAATACACAAGTTTTAAGATAACTGTTTCTCGTTGCATAAAAAAAACTACTTTTTGGCTCTAAATAATTAGTCTTAGTTCATGTGTTTTTAATCCAATCTAATAAATAAATGATCAAATGACATCGCAAACATTTAATGGAAAATATAATGTCACACAAAGGACATAAAACTTACATGAATATATGGGTCAATCGTAAATCTTTGTTTATTGTTTCGGCCGTTGATGGATTACGTAGACACGCTGTATATTAAAATTAAACACCACAGATCTAGATATAAAAATATGAAATATCTTATTTTTTTCGCAACTTTCATTGCTTGTTATCGAAACCATTACAATGTTCCATGCAAAACTGTTGTAACTCTGTTACATTAGAGTTACAACAGTTTAGCACGGAACTTATGTACAAAAACCTAAAATAGTTAAACTGTTGTTGTAATATTTAGCCGGTTAAACATAAAATTCCATTATTACTTCATTTTCATAAAATTTTGAGTTACTGCAGTCTTGCACTGAGGGTGCGATATTTTTCTCTTTCATACAATCGTTTTATCGTTATAGTAATTTTAAATGCTAAATGCATATGACCAATTTTTTGGCTAGTTAAATTATGAATTTATACTTAATTGAATAACACATTATAATGTTGAGTAGTCAGTGGTTCTTGACTTACAGGGTTCTATTATATTTTAGCTTTTGAAATAAACGAACTTCTTGTAGAAGTAACTGATACAGATAAAAAGAACAGTTACGCCCAATATACGTCATTCTCGATAGGCAACGAAAAAGATGGCTATATACTGAATAACCTTAAAGGATTTTCAGGTGACGCGGGGGATTCTTTATCACCTCATCTCAATGCAAAATTTACTACTCTGGATGTGGATCAGGATAAAAATTCTGGAAATTGTGCACAAATGTATGGTAAGAAATATTTTTTTATAATTATTTTTGGTCAGTTTGGTATTGGTAGCTGTTTTTTTTTATTTTAGAGGGTGCTTGGTGGTACGCAGATTGTCATCATAGCAATCTAAATGGAAAATTTATGACTCTAGTGCTTCCTGCTGCATATGGAGCTCATGGACTGAACTGGCACTCTTTGAAAAAAGGGTATGATAATTTGGCAGGGTCAAGAATGATGATACGACCAATTGGATAATAAGATTATTTTTCCTGAAAAAGAAATAAGTTGCAATTTTTGTTTAAATTGTATAATATATTAAATATAAAATATAATTGATAATATAAATGATTGCACATTATTATGTATATAAAAAATATTTGTAATAAAAATTTAACTAAATAATATTAAAACTGTTTTATTGCTACAAAATATTTTCACAATATAAGAAATAAATGGTAAAATTTGACATGTATATTTTATTTATATGCAAATACCCAAAATAGGGGAGAGGGGGGCAAGTTGTTACATAATTGATTCTATTATTTATTTGGGCAATAGTAGATCTTTTATATGAAAACTAAAATCGGATTAAGGTAGTTGATACATTTACACAAATAATGTTAATTTTAATTTATTTAAAAAATCATATTTAACATTTTGTTATTATCAATTTAACTCAACTTGTAAATTGAAACAACATAGCCCACGATGAGGCAAATTGTTACAGTCCATGGGGTAAGATATTACAATAGAAAAAAAATTCTAAAAACTTCCCACAACAATATTTAGTGGTCACAGAAAGAACCCTTGCTTAGCTACAAAAAATATTATAAACATAACACAAAATGAAATAAAATAAAAAATGAAAATCTGAACAAACCTGTTTACAAGAATGTTAAACTAGTCACTATCGGACGAGCAGTGAATACAAATATAAAAATCATCGTCTTTTCTACAAGCAATATGTGCCCACTTTTGACACACAATGCATTCTTCGTTTTTGGACTTCGAAAATGGAGCTAAACATACCAGACACGTCGATTCCTCATCCTCTTCCGAGCTTTCAGAATTTGATTTTTTGAAGGTGTTTTTGGTAATGACGGTCCGTTTCTTACATTTTTTAACAGTAGTTTTTACCTTGTTTCTTGATTCACCTGATCTGTTTCTTTTGGTTGCCCCCACATTTTTTTTCTTTGTCTTGCCTTTTCTTCCTCCTTCAAAGCTGATTTAATGGGAGTATCAGTCAACACAGCGGAAGTTCTTTTCTTTCGACCCGCTTTGGATTTCCTTGGCATTGCTTTTGGATAAGGCTTCAACTCCTGAGGCGTTATATGAGTAAGTAAATCGACAGGTTCATTTATCGCCAAGTTAAAATCTGTGCTTGTAGAAGGTTGCTGTTGGGAAGAAGTTCTATGTGTTTCCGTGCCAATAGGTGCCGGATCTATGACTACTGTTGCGTTTATATTTTCTGGTATTGGCCTATTTGTTACCTCTACAGACAAGAATTCATCATCTTGAAAAATTTCTCTGTTGTATGGCCAAATTCCTGTCACACCAAATCCTTTTTGTATATTGAGAGGTGTAACAGCAAGAGGAAATGAATCTTTAAGAACGATAGGTATATCGTAAATGTTCATTACTTTTCCGGGATTAGATCTTAACCATGCATCTGCAGCACTATTAAAATATCTTTTAAGTGGGCCAAATACCGTCCTATCAAGCGGCTGCAACTAGTGTGATGTATGTGGCGGGAAACTTTAAAGAACCACTCCATTTTCTTTAAAAAAATTCAACACCGGAATAGACAAATAAGACTTGTGATTATCTAATACCATCAAAACGGATTTCTCTTTGCTACATCGTACAAACTGGACGAAATGTTTCATAAACAACAAAAAGTTATCACATGTCATCCATCCAGAGGAATAAGACGCACCTACACAACCAGGAGGTCATTGGCTACCATAACATCTTTGAATTTCTTTCTCGGAAATATTAAAAATGGAGCTACAAAATTTCCAGTTGCGTTGACAGCTAATGCCAAGGTAACAAGTTGACCTCTTTCTCTAGATGTGATAGCACCTACCTGCTTAGTTCCCCTTTTTGCAATGATTTTTGTAGGCCTTTGGACAGTTGTAAGTCCAGTTTCGTCCATATTGTACACTTCTTGGAGCTAAAATTTATATTTATCATAAACTTCGCCGAGATTGTTAAAAAACTGTGACACATTATGACGATTAAACGCGGTAGCTCGACCCATACTAGTAGCTTCAGGTGTCCGGACTGATAAAGTTCGATGCCTCTTCAAAAATCTATATAGCCAGTCTCTGAAAGCTATTTCATTAACCTTCCAATTTTCCGGAACAGATATTTGGTTGGCTGTTGCATATTGAAATGCAAATTTTCTCAAATCAGAAGTTGTAAGACCGTAATAAATTTTAGCAGAATGCTCAGTATATTCGGCAAGTTCCTCTTCTTCAGCATTGTTAAATATTTTTCTGGCCGTAGCGTAGCCGACTAAGTTCTTGTTACTGTTTTCAGCACCTAAGTTTGATTTTCTTTTCATATAGCGGTGCAATGTCATAAAATTAACTCCATAGCGAGTAGCAGCATCCCTAATTGACAAGTGTTCTTGTAAAACCGATTGCGCCTCCCTTTCAAATTGTTCGGTTGGAATAATACCCCTTGTGGTTTTCTTGGTATACGTTCGCACCATGTTAAGCTATCTGAAAACAACCAAAACAATTTTATGATAAAAAAATTTAATAAAACCTAATCTGTGTTTCTAACATGCTTAACATACAAATAAATGTAGAAAGGTATGCTATTCATTACAAACAAATTACTTACTTACTTCTACGGCACTACAGCCCAAAATGAGCCTTGGCCTCCTTTATTTTTTGCCTACACCCTTGTCTGTCTGTGGCTGCTCTTCTCCATACACGGACTCCTAAAAGTGCTTGTGCGTCGCTGCTTACTGTGTCTTCCCAGCGCTTTCTTGGCTTTCCAACTGGTCTCTTTCCCTGCATTCTGGCGTTCAGTGCTCGTTTTGGTAGCCTATCCTCTCCCATTCGTATCACATGTCCGGCCCATTGCAATCTTTGTATTCTAATGAAGTCTGACAGGGGTGTTTCCTTATACAGTTGATAGAGCTCGTTGTTATATCGAATTCTGAAGATTCCGTTTTCCCTCACAGGTCCTAGTATTCTCCTCAGTACTTTTCTTTCGAATGTGTCGAGTTTGTTTTTGGATGTTTCTTTCAGGACCCATGCTTCGCTGCCATAACATGCTATTGGCCGAATTAAAGTTTTATATATTCTCATCTTTGTATTTCGGTGGACACTTTTAGACCGAAATATATGGGAGAGGGCAAAATAAGCTTTGTTTGCCTGCGTTATTCTTTTTCGTATTTCTCCATCCTCTGTTCCATCGGCATATATTTCTACTCCCAGGTATGTAAACTTTCCAACCGTTTCAATGTCATCTTCATGTATAATGTTTTGTGGGATTATATTTCTTCTCGTCTGTACCATTATTTTTGTTTTTTCTGTGTTAATTACTATCTACAAATCTACAAACAAATTACTATCTACAAAATATGTCTGATCATAATATTGGATTTTTAGTGAAATCATAAATTATAGTAACCATATTGTAACCATTGTAGGTATTTCGATATATTCTTACATTAACGTGTTCGGGGCAAGTTGTTACAGTAACAACCTGGCCCCAGATTATTGTAACAACTGGTCCCATGTGTACGAAATGAGGTTAAGTCAACGTTTTTTGCTAAATATTGAGAATCAATTACTAACAATAGCATGCCAATAACGAGAAATATATACGCTTCAAAACTATATAATACACATATTTATACTACTTACCAATTTCTCACAAATAAAAACAAAAGCCACCTGACAATGGTACAGTTTTAGACCCGACACCACATTCTAAGCAATAACACTATGATGGATGTCTGATTTGAGTATCAATATCCGTTCACAGATGACGGGTCGGTTGACCCAACTTTCCATAAAATATCGGCAACTCATGATACTTGCTGCGTTTTAAAATAATTGTGTAACAACTTGCCCGTGTAACAACTTGCCCCCTCACCCCTACCCATAAGAACTAAACATTAGGGTGGGACGAATTTTTCAAATCGAACAATACAAGTATTGGTATGAATCGAAAGTTGCATTAGACTATTAGAAACAGTATAAAAATAATAAAAAATATATCACATATATGTTTTGGCTCTCTACCGGGACTTGAAATTTCCCATAAATGGAAAGTTTCCCCCTGACTGTTAAATTTGTTTTACAAAATAAAACAACAGTTTTTACGGTAAAAAGAAAAAGTTTGGCACATTTTGACCCAAGTTTACCTTTAACCCTGCGTTGGTCGCATGGTAAGCGCAACGCTCACCATTTTACTTTTTTCTTAACATTATTTACAATTTTATTCACATTGGCAACTGCGCTCATGTAATCTTTCCTACTACTATTGTGTATAGAATATTTTACGCAGAATTGTGACCGTGCAACCGTCAGTCTATTCCAAGTATTGGTTAAGAGCAGATGTCAAGAAATGAGCGATTAGATCACCGCGACTAACGACGTGACGATTTTGGAAAGCTACAGAGCAATTTTTGTTGGGTTTTTTTATTGACTTTGTATTTTAAATCATATAACTTTATAATATTATTGTGTAATGGATCCTAAAGAAGAAGCCAGACTGTTAAACATATATGAAGAATTGGAGCAAGAGAATTTGGTACTTGAACAGACGCAAGAGCAAAATTTGGACGATGAAGCAAGCGTCACAGATTCAGTAGAAGTCAGTTCTAATCATGAGAGAGACTCAGAGTTTTCGGCCGATGATACGAAAAATACTATTTTAATGTTTTGGTCTGAAGATGGTATTATCGTAAAAAACACTATACTTAAAAGAAAAAGTAGCAGAGGAAGCAAAATGTTAACTTTATAGAAATTAAAAACTCTTGAGATTTGACATTTTAACTTTTGTTTGGAAAGTTATGATAGATGCGACGTCACACTCCTGCTGTCCGTTGTCATATACTTGAGATTTAGTAGTTTCATGACATGACACTTCAGCGTTGACAGATGTCATGGAACATTACCCACATTATTACTAACGGATATAAGTTATGTATTCGCCATTCGCTCCGTGCGTGACTGACACAACACCTATTGCCTTCATCTGACAGTTTTGGACCTCTCAATTTGACGTTGGTTAAACATATGTTAAATACAAACCAAATTGACAAAAATATATAATTAGTTTTTTAATTATATTTTTCAGTTTATGTACTTAATAAATGTAGTATTAAAAACTTCTAAAAATTCTAAAAATTCATTAAAATTTATCTTTTTAACCAAAACGGCGAAGAAAGCAAAAAATCTAGTACTGGAAAATCAAGTTTTTCATGTGGAAGAGCATGTAATTAAAAACAATAATAGTAAAAGTTATGATATAAAAACTAAAGTCATCGGGCAGGCTGCAGTTAGCTTGAAGCCTTATAAAATATCATTTAAAGTAAATTATTTAATTTTTCCTATTTCAATTGCATAAAAATGAAATTATGTGATATTTACTTTTTCATTTTAATAGCACGAATCCATCTTTTTCTTCTCATTAATTTATATGTAATCTTTGGAAACTTATAAAAACTACAATATTTTTGCTATTATTAGCACAACTAAATATGCAATATGTATTTGCAATAATTTGCACCCATTTTTGATAAAATTTATGCGTAAAAAGGAGGTCCAATTTTGTCATATTTCGCCGCTAGGCACGCTGGCATCGTTTCAAGGTATCCCTACCATGGTCACGCAGGAAGCGTATAGGCACAGAATAATAGACAATGAGAATATCTACTGTGCTTGAAAAAATAAGTACGCGCCTCTCATTCGCGCTGGCGGAATCAGCCATGTTTTAAACGGAACCAGTGCTGTTCAGCGACTTTTATCTGGTGTGCATAGACAAATTAACCCGGTTTAATTTATTTACGGCAACTATCGACTTTATATGTACTATTTTATTCGTAGTTTTAGTTGAAGAATAGATTAAATTATTTCATGTGAACTAAATTATTAATCTCTAAAAAATTAAATTATTGTTCTGTCGTAGCTTGTCACAAATTTCTCAATTCGAGTCTATGTTTCCGTCTAAAATATGGCGATCGCGTGCTGACAAACTTCAAAGGCGGCATCTGAGAGTGGGCATTCTGACTGTTATTTATTCTATGGTATAGGTTACTACACACATGTTTTAATTAGTAAAATAGAGAAACCTAGAATACATTAAACACCGTTTTCATTACATTATACGTACATATATAACAGACAGAATGTCGCTTGGTTTAATTTTTTTTGTTCTGGACCGTTAGCTTGACAATAACAGGGATTTTTTCAAGATAGCTTCAGGTATTTGACACCAGAATTCGCTATATTCTCGATTTTAAATGGCTCTGGGTCAAGTTATGGATATCGATGTCCATTGGATCCTGTGTGAAGACTGCGATAAATCGTACGTTGGACAGACAAATCAAAGAACACAAGTTAGATAAGAAGAACATCGAAATATCGTCGTAAGGAAAGACAATAAGAGACATAAAATAAACTTGAATGGATCGAAGATGTTAGTTAACCCTTAAACGGCTAGCGTTACCATATCGTAACGGTAGACAACCTCATTTTAGAAGAGGCAACATAGCTTTTGGTTCCATCGGAATGCGTTGGTTATTTGTCAACACGCTTTTAGTATGTGAATGAACACATTGTTGGGTACAACGTCAACGTATAATCTTTTTGGCAGTTTTATTCAAATTTTAAAAATTGTGGTAACAGTTTTTTGAATTGTTATGAAAAATACTTACAAAAGAGTATTTATAGATAGTTATTCTTCAGTTCTAGACCAAATTTTGTTATGAAAGTATTTCAAGTTCTATAATGTAACCTCAGAAATATTGGCGTTACCGTATGGTAACGCTAGCTGGTTTAGGGAGACAAAAAATATTGTACGTGTATAAATGTCTTGCGTGTTGAGTATGTGGTATATATGCGATCAGAAAAGCTAGGACTCTTATTTATGTATTAATAATTGTCCAGTATATTCATTTGTTACTTTTAGGCGTGGGTTTACGCTGGAAAAAGCATTGCAAATGGTTTATGAAGAAGACCTGGACGTTCATGAAATATTCATCGAGCCTCCTGATGCGAATGTCCTTACCGATGAGGATTCTTGTGATGAAGATGGTGGCGGATTTCTAGATAATTTAAGCGGTCGACAGTTGACACCAGGAGCTGAAATCGTTCCTCCTTGTGCTGTCAGAGCTTTTATCGATGTACCCGAATCGGAGCCAGTGTCAAATATCGTCCGCGCTGGGTCAGAAAAAATATCCTGGATTGAAGGTGACTTTGAACGTGTAAGCAGGTATTTTCCTAAACCAGATTATAGTAAATATAGTGATATGGACTATTTAGATATATTCGAGATGTTTGTTGATAGCGAAATAATTGAACTACTTGTGACCGAATCAAGAAAATACGCACTTTTCTGCAATACACCGGATCCAAACATTTCTAACGAAGAAATGAAATATGTAATTGGGATTATGATTGTTACAGGATATAATGAGTTACCTGGAAGGGACTTTTACTGGGATTCCAAACAAGATATGAAAAATATTTTAGTCACTGAATCTATGAGAAGAGATCGGTTTCGCCAAATTTTAAAATATTTGCACTGCGCCGACAACACACAGCCTGTACATGGTGACAAAATGTGGAAGCTACGCCCACTGATGGGCCTTTTGAAACGCCGCTTTATTGACAACTGGATACCTAAACAGAACTTGAATTACGATGAGGCTATGATCAAATACTTTGGGAAGCATTCATGTAAACAGTTTATTCGGGGTAAGCCCATCAGATTTGGGTATAAAATGTGGTGCCTAAACTCTGCTTCTGGTTATTTGATGAACTTTGATATATATCAAGGAAAAACCCCAAAGTCAAACACTAGTTACAAAAGCAATTTTGGAAAATGTGCTGCTCCTCTACTTTGCATGATAGATGAATTTTCGGATGATATAAAAAAGCTCCCGCTCACATTTTACTTCGACAATCTCTTCACAAGCTTTAATTTTTTATATTCCTTGAAACAAAGAGGGTATGATGGTACGGGAACTAGGAGGGAAAATAAAATTCCTACAAGTTGTGAGTTACCTAAAAAAAGTATTATTTCGAAATCGATTTCGAGACACGATATCTGTCATCGACAAAGAAGATGCAATAATATTAGTCAAGTGGATGGATAATAATGTAGTGACAGTAGCATCTACATGTCATGTCGTCAATCCAGTCACTCAAGTAAAACGCTACTCTCGAGCCGAAAAAAAAAATTATTCAAGTACCACAACCTTATCTGATTTCTGAATATAATCGATTTATGGGAGGCACTGACTTCATGGACCAGCAGATATCCAGATACAGGATTTCAATTCGTAGAAAGAAGTGGTGGTGGTCAATTTTTACTTGGCTACTAGAAGCTGCTATAGTCAATGCTTGGTGTATATCCAAGAAGTGTAAACATCAAACACAGCTTACCCAACTAGAATTCAGACGAAAAATTGCTCAGGCCTATCTGATAAAATATGGCATGACTTCAAAAGGTGTTGGAAGACCTGCTGCTGCTAAATCAAGTTTATCTTTTAATAGGGTTTCGGATAACTTGAGATATGACAGAACAGACCATTTTTTGATAAACATCCCCAATAATAAGAGGCGTCGATGTGCTGGTGAAGGTTGTAGCTCAAGTATTCGTACTCTGTGTGTCAAATGTGATGTAGGATTATGTCTAAAGTGCAATATAATGTTTCACAGCCCAAAGCGATAATTTTCTTGTCCAAAAATTTTTTGTATACCCTAACCGGCTAACGTTACCAAAACGTAACGACTATTTTTTTTTAATTACATATATTTTGAGAAAAATACTTGTACCAATATGTTTAATAAAGTGTTTTGATCAATATTTATGATTTTTCCTTTCCTTTTTTGCAAAAAATAAATTTCACCGTTGAGGGGTTAACATCGAAAATAGGACTAAATGTGTAATTAGGAAAGCAATAGAGATCGAAAAACATCAAAAAAACTAAAAAATAATAAATAGGATTTGGAAATATGGCACCTATTTGAAAATATGGCACCTTAAGAAAATATACCTGAAAAATTAAACAAGTAATAGATATTATATTTTGATAAATAATATGGTATAAATATCTTATCGGGTTTTTCCAATTTAAATAAAACCTAACCCATATTCCCACAAAATAGATAAAGAAGAAATCCTGTTTGGTAGTAATGTGGTGCATTGTGATTATGCATTTCCTGCAAAATCAAAATTATAAATAGACAAAATATTGAATTTCTATTTCAGTGAATCAGAATGGCATCGCTTGCAGTTTTTCTTTTAATATGTGTAACATTCTGTGCAATGTCTCAAGATGTAAGTATTTTCCTATTCAATACAAAATCTTTGAATTTAAAACATTGAAAATTTAAGTATTGTACAGGGTGTTTCAAAAAGGTATGTCATAAATTAAATCACGCATTCCGGGATCAAAAATAAATTGATTGAATCCAACTTACCTTAGTATAAAAGTCTACACAAAAAAAGTTACAGCCCTTTAAAGTTCCAAAATAAAAATTGTTTTTTTGTATTATCTCCTAAACTACTTGACATTTTGTAATAAAATGGGCAGGTTACTTTCTTGTTCTGAAAGCATTTTTCACACAACAGAAACAACAAAATCTAAGCGCACAGAAAAAATTTAAGGGGAGTGTGCAGCCCTAAATCCCCCCAAACTTTTGAATACGTTCAAACCAAATGAATTTTATGGCATCATTAATTTAACACATTATTTTTAAAACTTTTTTGCCTCTCATCACATTTTCGAAAAACTAGCATTTCTTAGTTGGCCATAAAATTACAATTAGTTTTTACAGATGCAATAATTACAAACAATTCCATCAATAATAGTCAATAGTTTAAACCTATCATTTATTGTGTGAATAAGAATAATATTAACAATTTTGATATTGCAATGGCCTACACATTTTAGGAAATGGTAGATATTTATAAAACTTATATATATATATATATATATATATATATATATATATATATATATATATATATACATCCTACTATCATTTTGGCATCGATACATTATGCTTTTACCATCAATTTAGCATCGTCTTGCAAAGTAGCATCTGTATATCGACGCTACTTTACAACACCTATGTAACTTTTTTTCTGTACTTGTTACAAGAATTTTAACCATCTCACTGATTAGAGATTTGATACCGTGTTGGTATTTTAAAATATCGGCTTTCTCTTTTTATCCCTTACTGAGTTATATAAGTTTATTCCAGAAAATGTTTGAGTCTAAAATGATGGTACGGTGAAAATATTATATATATTTAGTTCAGGGTTTTACCGTTTACTCGATGTCATTATATACATAAAAATGTATATCCAACTTTCATTATCAATCATTTTAGCATCAGAAATTTGGCATCGCTGTTGAATATAATATTACCCACAACGAAATAGTAAATTTAAAAATATATATATTTTTTTCATCCATAAATCATTCTGGCATCATGTATCTTCGCTCCAATTGGTCCAGTCGTGACGTACAGTATCTCAAATGATAGGATTTAACCAATAAAATACAATAAGACAGAAAAATCAAATACAGCAGCATGTCAAAAAGGCCTTAGTTATATATCTTCGTTTCTATAAGTCCAATCGTGACGTACAGTATCTCAAATGATAGTATTTAACCAATGGAAAACAATGAAATAGAAAAATCGGATACAGCAACATGCCAAAAGAGCCTTAGTTGTGTATCTTCGGGTCTATTATTCTAATCATGACGTGCAGCACCTCAAATGAAAGGTTTTAGCTAATAAAATACAATAAGGTATAAAAATTAAATGGAGTAGCATGTCAAAAGGGCCTTAGTTATGTATCTTCGGTCCTATTAGTCCAATCGTCACGTACGATATAGCAAATGGTAGCACTTAACTAATAGAATACAATGACTTAGAAATCAAATACAGCAACATGTCAAAAGGGCCCTATTTACATATCTTCGTTTGTAGTGGCACAATCGTGACGTACAGTACCTCAAATGATAGGATTTAACCAATCAAATACTATGAGACAGAAAAATAAAATACAGCATACATAAGCCTGTCAAAAGGGCCTTAGTTATGCATCCGCGGTCCTGTTAGTCCAATCGTGAAAGGGCCTAGTTATGTATCTTCTATCCTATTAGTCCAATCGTGACATACAGTACCTCAAATGATATCATTTAACCAATAGAATGCTACGACGTAGATCAAATACAGCAACACGTCAAAAAGACCTTAGGTATAAATATTTGCTCCTATATATGCTATGTCAAAAGAGCCTTAGTTATGTATCTTCTGTCCTATAGGTCTAATCATGACATATGGAGCCTAAATGATAAGATTTAATGGAGGTCATACGATGGTGGAGACAAAGTAAACATGGCGGCATGTAATATCACGGTAAACTGGCAGCAATAAAACGTAATAACCCACAGAGGTCTATGGCATATTACGTGACAGAATTTAGCGAATAGCATATGATTTGCATACGTCTACTTTTAGTCAACTACTGTACATATGATAAACGCGAAAAAGTTCCAACATTCACTGTTAGACATATGCCTCCCGTTCACTGCACACATTTACTGCTCCTTGACGCTGTGACGTAAATTGGATAGGATTTAACAAATAGAATGACAGAAAATTAAATAAGACAGTGTGTCAAACGTGGAATGCATCGTAGAACGTGAAATATATAATATACATTTAAGAATATGAAATAATACACCATTTAAAAAAAATGACGTTAGTTGAGGCAGATCAGACCAGAAAAAAATGTCAACATTTGCATATTTTTAAAATATACCAACCAGATAATAATAATCAAGCAATAGAACACTGAAAACTTTTGTTTTTAACTGTACGCCCATGAATGACTAGCCATTTTTAAATACCTTTTGATATTGCTTTTTTTTATTGTATTTTTCCCATTTTTCAAGATAATTCTTGTAGGGATATATTTATTTATAACATACGGTCTTATGGTATTACGAACAGTATTACGGCTTTAATTTGTACCACACTGCTAATTGAGAACTATGTTTGTAATGCAATAAGAGGTCCTGATATACGAGACACCAGTGACTCATGCCCCACTGATACAAATCCGACAGGAATATGCATTTCTATAAAAACAATAGATTATTTGTTTTGTGTATTAATTAAGTTTAGGTAAACGAACAAGACTTGCATTATAAAAGATTTTTCTAAATGTAGAATGTAAACCATATTTCGTATGCTTTGTGAAAGAGAACCAGTTTATAACATTCCGGACGACGCAAAAACACTTTTTTATTAGAATATTGGTCGATGAATTATAATCATAGTTTAAAAAACGAATTTATGTGCATATGGTCTACTACAAAAAATGTAAAACCAAAATCTTGATTAAAAAAGTGGCAACCGGTTACTTATAATGAAATTTACCCCCATTATTGATTTCACAAGTGAAAAAATGTGTCAACAAAAAACCAGTTTTAATTATTACAATATTTCAACATAATAGTTTTATCTTGGTTTAATCAGGTGAAAAGAAAAATTATACACAACTGCTAAAACCACAAGCTATTCTCGATTATAACTTGGTGAAAAAGAGTGTTGATTTTAGTAATCAAATTGTTTCTTACCAGAACCCAATATCCAAAATTCTGAAGTGGTACCGGAAAGTGGCAGTGAAATTAATATTTAATACCGCAGTAGCCAATGCTTAGTTGTTAAATAATAGAAAAGGCGAAAAAGCGACAACCTATCATTGAGTTCAGATTGGTGTTCGCGAAGACATTTGCAAATAAATAAATGTTGCAACGCTCACGACCAGTTACACCCAAAAAATACCATCTTAGGCAAAGCGACGTAGGTAATAAAAAGAGAAGAAAGTGTACAAGATATTACAAAAGTTTAAGAAGGAACATGACTAGTAGAAAGACCGATAGAAAAGTTAAAATAGTTAAAACATACTGTGGAGCATGTGATGGTAAAACTGCAATATGTCTAGTGTGCTTCAATAAAGCACATTAAAATACAATTTCACTTATACAGGAACTATTATTACGTGAAAACGTATTGTTCCTCAAGTACCCTTATAGTATTGAAAATCGTAAATTATTAGTTTCTATTAGTACGTTTTTATTGTTAATTACCTCTGTAAAAGTGAGTTATAAAATTGTTTTTGTAAATTGTATTATATTTGTAAAAAAAATAGATGTAAATAATATGCTTTCGACATCTAAAAAAGCTAGATGTGAACATAAACGTAGATTGACCACTGATAACTTCTATAATAGTGTTCAATAAGCTAGACAATCTAGACAATTGCTCATAGTCTATATTAAGAAATAACCGAATAGACAATCTCTACTTGTCAAAGAAACTAAAAACAACGTGAGATGGTCAGTATTTACAGTCCTGAAGAAATATGTGTGACCAAATGCAGAGATAAACGAGATATATACATGATATATTCAGAATTTCGTTGTCAGAGGGTTAGAATTAGATCAAGAAGAGGATTGATATTTAAAAGAGTTAATTGATTAATATAATAAAAATAAATGTGGTATACACTTACGTGAACAAATGCTGAGCTACTATTCATGTGAACATATAACATATTTCTTATATAACAGTGGATATCAAAAGAAGATTTCCCTTTGCGATTTTAAACTTTCAGTCAATGGGAGTCTTTAAGGACCAAATTCCAAGTACCTACCTATTAAAAAACTGGTAGTCCACCATTTATATTAAAATTTTCCAAAAACTGTTTTAAGAAAAACTAGTTAAGCGCAATACATGATGTCGTATCCTGTTGGCATCACTTAGCCTCTCCTACTCAATTCCTATCTTCACCTCCACGCTGGTACACACCGGTAACCTGAGCAACCCCACTGGAGACTGGGTAACCAACCCCAGTGGATGGTGGGGTCAGGGCAGACGAAGAAGGGAGCCTTGGTCCTCCGATGAAAAGGGGGTTGAGCGAAGGGTTAACAACCCTTCCTTGTAGAACTCAATTGTTGCGAATACAATGGCTAATGAAACAAACGGACGGATCTCATAACAACGAACTCAGCACAGAAAAATGGACATGATTATGGATTTAAAATTTAGAACCCGGAACGTGCGAACCTTCTTAAAGGCAGGAGCTATGATAAGTATGGCAGAAGAACTTGAAAAATACGGAGTTGAAATATTGGCACTGCAGGAAATCAGATGGAAGAGCCAGGGAGAAATTCATAAGAATAAATTCTCACTATACTACTCCGGAAATGAAATGAGACAAGGTGAAAGAGGAGTAGGGTTTATAATAACCAA